GTTGTCAAATGTCTCTGGTTAGGGTTTGGATGTGAGGTGTCCTCCAAAAGCTCACGTGTGAGATGTACACCGTCTTACACAGAAGGTTCAGAGGAGAAATGACAGGGTTGGGAGAGTCTTAACYCCATCATGATTCCAGCCCCCGACGGGATTAACTGGGTGGGAAGCTGTGGGGTGTGCCTGGAGGAGGTGGTCCTGCGGGYGTGGCTTTGGGGGCTGTATTTTGTAGCTGGTGCGTGGAGTCTCCCTCTCTCTGCTTCCTGATCACCAGGTGAGCCCCTTCCCCCCAGCATTCTACCATGATGTTCTGCCTCCCCTGGAGCCCCGAGGAGAAGGGCCGGACTGAGACCTCTGAAAACCTGAGCCTCCAAATAAACTTTTCGCCCTCTAAAATTGTTCTTTTCAGTTCCCTTAAAGTAGCGAACATGATGACTAAGACATCTGTCTAACACAACCTGGGTCCACACAATTATTAYAGGCCAGATTTGATATGAAGAGACATTTAGGCCAGTACCAGCATGATATGGGCAGTCTTTGGGCTGTCAGAAAATTTTAGCCTGTTCATATTTTTTTATGTAGATCCTAAATATTTTGGTAGATAATGCCCATCCGGCTGAATTCCTTCCCAGTCCTGTCTGCCTGTCAAGTGTCTCGTGGCCCTCCTCCAAACCCGCCCTGTGCACGCAGACCTGGACAAACCCAATGGAAGTGCTGCCCGTCTATAAGGAGGACAAGAATCTATCCAAGTCAGATTTTCTCTGTTAGGTGAAGCTGTCTTTGCAATACCCATTTTAAATACCCTGCTTTTCTGATATGTTTCTTTCTGTTGCTCTGGATCAGCAGATGGCATTGCAGTGTTCTTAACATATCTCACCACCATCAGACCATCTCTAAGGACAGCCTCATGTCAGCTTTGCATCTCAGTGACCGCAAGTCCTCGATATATAGCTTGGAGGAGGAAAAGTTTGTTTTGGCTTGTGGTTCAGTCCATGGGCAGCCAACTCCATAACTCTGAGCCCAAGAAAAGGCAGAACATCAGGGCAGAGCGGCATGGCCACCAGGAAGCAGACAGAGCTCTGCTCATCGGGAACAAAACAGACCCCAAAGTCTTGCCCCAGCGACCTGTCTCCTCCAGCTACATGCTACCTGCCTGCAGTACTGCCTAGTTAACCCATATCAGTGGATTAATTCACCAGCTGGGTCACAACTGCCATAATCTAATCCTTTTACCTCGGAACCCTCCTGCATTGTYTCACGCATGATCTCTCAGGAAATACCTCATATCTAAACAAAACAGCCACAAACAACAGGACTGAACCAGACCTCGTCACMATGTCACATGAGTTCTTCTCCACATTTATCCAGGCTGGACTTACCACCTGGCCACAGAGAGTTCCGTGCCAGGTGTGCTCTGTGCAGACCAAGTAGACCCCGCCACACTGAGAACCCTGCATCCCCGCGGTGACCACAGGGCCTGGGCGATCTGACTCCTGGAATCACTGTGTTTCTCTTCTCTGTGTGGAAGTTCCACCTGTAATTCAGGTGGCCTCCACGGTGCCTCCCCTGGGCCTTCACCACCCCCACCTCCACCAGCCTCCTCCCTGGGTCTGTCACCTCCTCCCTCTGCAGAAGTGCTGCTTTCACACGTCCCCTGACACTCATTATTCCCAACTTGTATTAAAGGTACTTGTCTTTCCCTTGCGTAAAGATTCCATGGAAGGAAATACCTCATCTCATTTACCTTCACATGCTACTCAACAGCCCTTGAGGATCTAAAAGGATATCACTAGGTAAAACTCACAAGCACACAAGCATAGAGAAGACTCTTTTTTTTTTAAACTACTTACCCTCTGGCTAAGTTGGCATKGGGTTTTTCAAGTATTTTCCCTACTCTGCTGACACACAGCACATATTTTACACTGTTGTGTATTGTATAAAATAGAAGGGGTAGGTTTGATATTTCTACTCTAATGCCATCTTTTTGAGGTAATACAATTATGATTATCAGTTGTTTTATGAAACATTTTTACTTGGAAATCTGAAAAAATACAAGACCTTTGAAAAATACATTCCAACTTTATTCTCCAAGAACAATGAAAAATGTCAAAAATGTCCTTTTGAATCATGTCACCTAGCTATCTTAKCGATGTGAGGGTCACCATGATACATTTACCATAACACGCCTCTGCTCATGGCCACCACAGTGCAGGGATGCAAATCTCCTCTAAATAATAGCAACGCTGTCTGGGTAAGAAGATGATGTTCTGTGCCCGGGATGGCTCTCACAGACAACTTGCAGACTGCACGTCAAAGAGGTGACACAGTGGCAGACATGACAGCCCATCATCACACAAAGTCCAGCGACAGACATGGTCAAGGGTTTGTGAACTGTGGCCACAGGGCGCCCAGATTCCACACATGCCCTCCTGCCAGGACTTGTGCAAATTGCCACAGGGAAGATAATGAGGGGCCCATGGGGACCATGGAGCTTCCCACTGGTGGAGCAGATGTGGGCCAGCTTCTTGGAGCTTGACTCCTGGCCTGGCCAGATCTGCAGAACATGTCCTTGGGGAYTTGGGCCCAGGAGAAGCCTGTCACAGTGCAGCAAGGAGAACCCTGATCATCCCCTGAGCCCATCTCTGCTGTTTACACACACCCCTCCTCGGTCAGAGGCTCTGGCAGAGTGGACACCAGACACTGCCAACACGGTAGGGAGTCAGCACTTGCATGTGAGCCGCGAAAACCCTCCTTCCCCTCCCTAAACCCAGCGCCCCTGCACTTAGACTCCACAGGGCTCAGCCTGGGCAGCACTGTCCATCATGGCTTAGCTGTTAAAGGATCTGGGACATCCCCCTGCGCCCGCTGGAAATCCTTGGGCACCACCAGGGCTCCGGAGGGTGACCCATCCTCACTGTGAACAGAAGCGCCGTCCCAGAATGAACACTCCCTCCTTAGGGAAGAGCTCGCTCCCAGACCTGGAACCTGCTTCTAGGTCTCCTCCCTCACGCTGGACACAGAGTCAGACTCACACAGCTCAGGGCGCCCAGACCCTCAGCAGAGAGCACCACGGGGCAGCTGCCTTCCGCACACCGTCCACCCTGCACCCTGGGCAGGCTGCCCTGCGAACAATGCCCAGGTGTGGAGGCGCCTCTCACCTGGAGTCAGGAAGCCATCTTCTCCTGTCCACAGTGATGGCAGTCATGAACTGATGAGGACRACGGCTGCCCCCATGTCTGTCCAACCCTCGCCTGGCCTGGGAAGGTGTGTTGATTCCTTTTCCTTTTCCACCCTTTGACCCCTGAATGACCTGCAGATCTTAGCACACGTCTTCGCGATACCTCTGGCTTACTCCCTCTCTTACCTCACAGCATTTTAAGTATCTGAAAATAGCTATTGATTTCCTAACTTACTCTCAAACTAACGATCGGAAGCTTTTCCAAGCACCCCTCAAACGTCACCGCCCCGATTCTTCACCAGGCGCTCACCCATCCTCAGCAGCCACTAAGCTTTTGCAGAACTTGGATCACAACGTGGCCCTGGAACACCAAGGCCCAGGGGACCCCATGGCTCTGAGACACAGCGGGTGGATGTGGACTCCACCGCGGCACAGGGACCCGGGCAGGTACTGTGGACAGGCTGGGCACTGACCAGCAGAGTGTGCTCTCGGCACAGGCAGCCTGATCTAACCCCAAACACCCGAGTTGTTCTTCCACACTGTGATTAACAATTCTGTCCTCATCATGCACATTTGAAGGTATTGGTTTTCTACATTTTATGTTAGTATCACTTTCATATGTATTTATTTATCATAAAAGTTTGAGTTTTTGAATATGCCATTTAATGTTACWTTCACTCTTTCAACTAGCATCATTTTTATGCCCTAATAAAAGGTACGAGTAAAAGTTTGGGGTTCAGAATTTCCATTTCTAAAGGATACTTCTGAGCTCCTGCCTTATAACCACATCAACACACACCCACAGCACCTGAAGGAGAGACCAGCTCAGCTGCCACCCACCTTGACAGAACATTCGGGAAAGCACAGGAAAGCCCAGAAGCTCTGTGACTTCAGGAAGCACTGAAGGCATCCCACGGTCTCCTGAAGACCACGGGGCTCCCCCAATAAGGCATTAGTCACGCAAATCATGTTAATGACATGTATCGGTTAAGAACCTTAGAAACACAGAGGGTGCGTGGCACCGAGAACTCGGCAGCTCCCTGCAGCACTGCGGCGGTCCCTCTGTGGGCAGGGAAGGAACGTCTGGAGGCGGATCTTCTCTGGGTTCCTACTCGGCCTTCGTCCTCTTTCTTGAAATTCTCCCAACTCAAAGGGAGAGCAGACCTCACTGTTCCCAGTCCCTGGTTCCGCCCCACCCTAAAGTGATCTGAGCTCCTGGGGGGCTTAAGCCCACCACGGCCGAGGCTTAGTGATCATATGACTGTGAGGGTCAAGGGGCTCAAGAGGGCCAGTGTGAGCCCGACCCCCAGGCCTGGGGGAGCTGCTGAGATGAACCTCTGTGCTCTCAACTGCCCCCTCAACCGTTTGCACACACCCACAACCCGTTTATTAATTATCATGCATGATATTTAAAGCTTTCAAAAAAACCCCAAAATTGTTACATGCATTCTATTTCAAATAATTCGCTCTGCTTTTATAAATTCAGATTAATGTCACTTCAACTTCTCGACATAATTTTAAGAAGACAATTGTATGATTATCTCTAAAACTTGTGTCTGTGTGTCCTCACCTCATGGCTGTGGTCTCTGAGTGCAGGCACACTCCCAGCCCCTGGGAGGTCACCTTCATGCCATGCAAGGTGACATGTGACCATGCTTCATCGCTCCTACTAAGAACACGGCCTCTTCCAATGCTCTGTTAGGCCCTCGGGTGACGCGGCCTGGAGACCCGGCAGGACCCAGTGCCTCCAGAGCCCTAGCGCAGGAAGCCRTGCCAGCCCGTCCACCGGGGTCACCAAACAGTGGGAGAGCACAGAGGAACCTACCCAGACACCGCGTTTCGGACCCACTCCAGAGGCCGTTGGCCAGGCACTCCCGGACGTGGGAGCCCACCAGCGTGTAGCCCGTGTTGCACGTGAAGATGGCCGTGGCGCCGAAGGCCGTCAGCGTTCCGATCTTGTTCCCGTTGGGGGGGAAGGACAGGCTTCCGCAGGAGATGACTAGAAGAGAGACAGCACAGTGTTGAGGTCCGCACATTGCCCTGCCCCAACGCCAGCCACCAGTCTCGGATGCTGACTTCACGGAGGACACGCAGCAGGGTGCTAGACTGTCACCTGGGAAGCCTCTCCCTCCTGCATCCTGAAAATGAAAACCCGGCATCGGAGGGACCTGCCACGTCCTAGCTGCCGGCCACCACCCTCAGTTGTCCTCTCACCTCCGCCCCACGGTAGCTAGGCTTCCTCAGAGGAGTTCATCGGGGGAAAGCAGATGGCACTGAAGCCTGGGACTGAGCGGACCAGCAGGGCCAGCACCGTCTCTTCTGGGTCCCTGTCACTGCTGGGCCCTGAGCGCCGTGTGAATGCTGGCTGCACAGTGCCCACGGCACCTTCCCGAGGAGGACTGGCAGACACTTGGCTGGTCCTTCTGTGGTGGTGGGCGGGGTGGCTGTGAACCCCAAAGCCTGCCCTGGTCCTCAGAGGCAGCACGTCCAGGGTGCCCCCAGCACTCCATTGTAGGAGGTGAATTCATAGCCGCATTGGAGGCCCTCAGGGGACCACATGCATCTCTGCAYATCAACTCCAAACACTCGAGACAAGAATCACAGACCCCAGGGGAGGAAGGAAATCACAAGTTATCAAAGACTACTGACCCTCGCAGGCTCGCACGTGTTTTAAACTGGTTTAGCATGAAAATCTCACAAAAGCCACTGGGGAGAAGGGTCCAGGGCACTGATGAGTCAGGAGGCGTGCAGCGGAAAGCCTCAGGGGCAGGAAGCCGATTCCCCCTGACGGTGAACAGACAGAGGTGGCAAAGCCTCCACCACCCAGGCCGGTTCTGCCTTGCACAGACGGGCATCTGCCCCTGCCAAGGTGTGACAGCACCTGCCACACAGGGTGCACAGAGGACCCGGGGAGGAGACAGGTGCAGGTGCATGAGGCCTGTCTTACACAGGACCAGACTCAGTGAGGGATAGAGACCAGGGCACCCCAAGTCAGGATCCATCCAGGGGACGGAGTCAGTGTGAACACTACGGCYGGTCAAGTGAGGACGGACTTCAGGTGCCTGGCATTGAGGCCAACCCTGTTAGCTGCTGTTACTTCACTATGTGGCCACCACTTGGTCTCAAAGGGGAACAAGCCAGCAGCTTAGGAGTGGCCTGCAGGACTGTCCACCTGGAACCCGGGAGATCACCCCAGGCTGGCAAGCTCCCTGTCACTCAGCCGTGCACTGTCTAATCCTYGGAGCCAAATGTCACTGGGCTCAAGGAGGATTTAGATTGTTACAGGAACTTTTCTCTGAGCCTTTTCCCAAACACAATGAGAACTTTTCCTTGAACTGTGACGTTTAATGACCCTCTGTGACGGTTGGGTGATTGGGTCGGGCTCTGAGAGTGAGTGCTTGCTGGGAATGTGTTACACAGCCTGAGGCCCAGAGCCTTTCCTGACAGAGGCCGCCAGGCACCGTTCCTGGAGACTGGAGACTGGTGGGGCCTGGGTCTCTACATCCTGGCTGTTCTCCAGCTTCAGTGGCACTATGCTGGGGACAAGGCTCTTCTGTTTGTCCTCTAGTAAGGGTTAAGCAATTGTAAAGAACTAAAGCAAGGACTCTGAGCTTTCAGCAGCTGGATAACGGGATTGCAGACACACAGTCTCCTTTGGCTGCAGACCCAATGGGTTAACGAGGACAGCAGCGAGGGTTTGGGAAAGCCAGTCCAGCAGGAGAGGGCCTCCCTGCCCACTGACTGGAGGCTTTGTCCAGCAGCCAGGAGGAGGTCTGGCCTCCACACTAGTGTCCCCTGAGTTTCCAAGATGGATGCACTATGTGTGCCTCCTGACCTCCCATCACACGTGGGTCATGCTGCAATCTGAAGGGCCCCTCGGATTCCTGGGGCCACCTTTGCACAGGAAGACACTCAGCCGTGGCATCCACAGGGTCCTGCCCACAGCTGGGGCACCTGGCCTGTCRCACACCTTGACTGTGGGTCATGAGCCTCTCTCCCCCAGCAAGGCTTCCTCCCCTCCCTCCTTCAATTCTGCTCTGGGTCCCCACTGAAATAACTGCCCTGGGACACGCTTTTCACACACCTGCAAGGTGAACACTCCTGTCTATAATGTGGACATTACTTACAAATGAGCCCATGGGTAGCTTCTCAAGCTGGTCGAGGCCTGGTAAAGGTGCCCTGGCCATGAGCAGCTGACGGCTGGAACACGCTGCATGAAGGGGCAGGACCTCCCCCTCCAGGAAGGGCTCAGGGGCAGGCTGTGTAGACCAGGGTCCTGGACTGTGTTATGAGGTCTACAGGGCTGGAGCTACCATCTGTCACTGGATGTAAGTCAGGAGAAGATGCTCACTGAAGGAGAGTGGCCTTAGGCTGGAAACGGGCTGCTCCAGTTGTCCCTACAACTGTTTCACGTGGGCTGCGGTTTACTCATGCTAAGTGTCTAGAACGTTCAACTTCAGCTGCCCTGAGTGGAGTGGCAGTGCCCCCCTAGGGTGTAGGTGGGCACACRCTCCCTCATGTCCAGCAACCAGTCCAGATGCACCTCCACTTACAAACAGGCCAACAAAGACCAGGCTGCCTGCTTCCTGCTTCCCTTCATGACCAAGTCTGAYTTAAGAAGCCTATACATTAGCAGTTAGGAAAGAGGTACATTCTAGAATTTAGCCAATGTTCTTTGAATATGTATACTTTAAAAATTCCCAGTTAGATTTTTCCATCTGTGTGTAAGTGTAAAATCTAAATGTAAAGAATTTTTCTAATTTCATGGATTTATGCAATAAACATATTTCTTACTTTTAAAGTACAAACAATAGGCAGAGMAACAATGAAATTTAACAAGAAGAGGAAAAGTGGCTGCCCTCTTTCATTAAGACCTTGACCTGCAGAGACCTGTGGGGCCCCTGGACATGACTCTAGTCCTGTTGCTGCCCTTGGGGAGCAGGACTGCAGAGCTAAGGCCTCGTCCTGCTGACCCGTGGAGACCTAGGGCTCTCCCAAGGACACCTAGGAGCCTCACTCCTATCTGAAGGGGAGCATCACCATCCTCCGAATCCTGGAGAGCTCTCAACTGGTCTCCATTTGCTATGGCCACACTCTGTAGGTGGCCCAGGGTCAGCTCTGCATCAGGGCTAACTGGACCCCAGAATGGGAACTTCTGACCCTTCCAGCCMCTGACCAAACAGGTAATTGAGAGCAATCAAATTCCTGAGACTG